CACTGCGGATAAGTGGATGCAATGAGTTGGACGTACGAAACTAATTAATTTTTTTTATTCTATCGATGAATCTAAAAACTGAAATGTTCTAAAACATTGTACAGAAATATTAGCTACAGCTGTTTTTTTTTAATGACTTAAAATACACATAAAAAAAAAAAAATCATTATGTTTAGATGAATTTGTAATGAAAAAAAATATTATTAAATACGCATGTAAACCATTGTACGTAGAACCTTTTTTTTTTGTGACATTATATTTTCATTATCAGATCCTTTGTTGAAAATACATCTGCATTGATCTACTCGTACAATAATCGCCGTATAATGGACAATTCCTAATGGACCAAAAGCATCAAAGACTATTGGAAAATAACCAGAATTATTATACATATATATATATATATGTAATATATAATATATTATGATGAATTAAATATTAAAATAATGTCGAAGTTTCTTATATTCATACGTAATCGTATTATACTTATATTTTACCAACCCATTTGACATTATTGGATACGTCCTTTTGTATAATATTGCCTAGGTAATTAATGAAATCGTTATATTTTTATCATAATTATTTATTCTCTATTAATATGTCATCGTAAGGGGTTTTTTTTTAATCGTATTCGTTATTTTTAATTAAGTTTTGTTTGAAAATACGTTTTAAAGTCGAATTTGGAAAGAATTTATTTGATGTGATATTTAGCAATTAGTGACATGATACTAATTATATCCAATTTAATTACTTTATGAACTACAAAATAAATAATTTATAATAAAATCAATACATATTTGTCGATAGTATTCGTAATTTTTATGTATTTGGGTTCACGTTTAAAATTTCAAATTACGTTAAAACATAATTAACAATAATTTGCCTCCGATTAGAGTATGCAATTTTTGTTTTATCTTGTTAAAATATTTTCATGGAAAAATTGTGACATTTACAGTTAATTGAACAAGTGAAAAAAATTATAAAATATAATATAACATGTTGATTAATAAATAATGCCTATGCCCACTCTATATTATACCATACTACCTTCTACATTATACATATTCGACATATTATTTATTTAACATAATGTCAACGGTTTTAAAATAAGATGAAACCAAATCAAAAGTTTTGAATGTCATATTATTATGTCGTCGTCTATGACGAAATATTAATGTTCAAAAATACACAACACATTTACATGTTAGCAATGGTAAATAAATTAGCACTAGCCAAATTAAATTCAACCAATGTCGTTAAAACTGTGTATTCAAGGTAATAGCGTTTCTCAATAGAATATCCGGTCAAAAATATTAACATTTTGTTGTGATATAATCATATAAAAAATTATACTATAAGGTAGCAATAATATTATGTTAACACGACGGGAGTAAAAATATTTTAATACAAAACGATCGTAAAATAAGAAACTTAAGTAAAATAATAAAAAACAATTTTATATGATTTAACTTCGTTAATTTTAATAAAAAAGAAATTTAATAAGATTATGGGATACAATAGAATTTAAGAATATATATTTATAGAATTCTCAACGACCTTACGGGAATATTGTCTGAACAAACTCCAAAATGTTTTGACTTCTTATGAGTATACAATATTAGAAAATAAAATAAGAAGTTATACAGTACTCAATTATAATAACGTTTGGTACGCTATCGATAATTGGCTTAAGTTTGGTATATTAAACAAAAATGATTCGATGAATAAAAATAAAATTATTTGTATTTTATTTATTTCCTATATACGGTAAATTTTGACTTATAAAATCAGTTATTATTCGTTTATTTTTCAACAGTTTCTATTGTGTATCCTCGTTCGATAACAAAATACTGTCTTCTACTGAAACTATAAGAAAGTTGAAAAGGACTTTGAATTTTTTTTTTGAAAAAAGACGTTATTGTCATAAAATTAAAATTAAGCCAATGATTGTTTTAAAACTAAAGTGTTCAATATCATGCGAATGTTTTGAATATCAATACGCTCCAAGGGTTATCTTTTAATGGCTTAATCTTGGATTTACACTGTGGATAAACATTCACGGAATAATTTCTTCCGGCAGAAATTAAATATAATTCTAAACGAAAGTCATTTGAAAATAACCTTTTTAATAGCGATTACCATGCGATTTAAGATTTGTTTTCTTTTTTTGTTCTTAAGCATATTTTACGATAGTCCAATGCAGTATACACATGTGTGCACGACCATACACAGAAAAATATGGATATGCGTTAGAACAGGCGAATTATCTCGCGGCGGACTCTTTAAATCATTTGATAGTTAAAGTTTGACATAAATAACTAAAGATTTATTTCGAACTTTTTCCTTATCGTATTATTTTCCCCTTTCTTTGCTTTAGAAAATCGTAGAAAACTTTTATATCCACTACTTATATATGTATAAAGGATGAGATTTTGAATTTTGATAAACCACTTTATAAATATGGATATATATATATATATATATATATATAAACATTTAAGTGTGTTTCATAAGAAGTGCTTCAACTATGCAGAAGTCAATAATATCTGCACTCGCACACGTACATACTCCCGCAAATGTATAAATATATGACGTTGAACTTTATTCACAGTTTTTGTGTTAGTATTTCATTCCGTTGATAAAATTTGGTGTTACGAACCAATTAATGTTTAAGAGTTAGAGTAATTATTTATATCAACAATTGTCTTGTGCGGCAAAATCTTATTAATATTACGGACGTTGGGATTGAAAATGATTTATAATTTTCAAACATGAGAAATTATATCTACAATAGTTTTGAGAATAATTATAAAATTATAAAATATGATAGCATTATATTACTATTTCTGTTCATCACCATAAAGTTTATATTTCTTTTTTGATTGATTGAAAAATGTAAGTTTTTTTATATGGCTGTAAAAAATCTCAACGTAAATATTTTTAATAAAAAGTTAAATTTGAACTAGTAATAATAATAATAAAAAAAAAAGTAATTTCTTTTTATAAACACAATCGGTAAAATATGTTGAATTTAACTATTCTGTTTATTCAATGATTAGTCACTAAAACCATTTCTAACTCTATAACTATATTTCTAGCTTCTATTTTCGTTTTTTCAGCTATTGTAATCGAGAATCAATAAATTGTTTTCTTATATAAGCTGTATAAATCCGGGTCCATACTAGAAACATTTGCGCGTAACACAACATCGTATTGTAACGTATCGTATTGTACTGTTACGATGTTGCGCTGCGTTCCATCAGTACCAAACAGTGTAATTTCACGGAATACGATCCTTACCCGTGGTTCTCTGCAGTGGTTATAGATTTTTAATTAATTTTATTATTTTACTGAATAATATAAATGGAACGAACAATACTTAATAATAATATTGCAAACGAATGATTTACGTCATGAACAATATTTATCGACTTCATGACTTACTGGCGACTAGTTTTATTTTAGTTACTCAATTCTAGACCTGTATTAATTTTTCACAGTTGTATCTACACTTGTAACATCTGTTGATGCGGAACATTTTTACCGATAACTGACGGGACGCAGTGTAACTCCGTCGCGTATCATTTTTTGTTGCGCGACTGTGTTGCGCATTCACGTCCACACAGATGTTACAGTTACGCGGCGATGTTACTATACGGCGTTTCGAATGTTGCAAGTGTCCACACCCGATTTAAATTATATTTAGTTTAAATGTCCACTATAGTACCGGTCAGTATAGATGATCCGATTTAAATTGAAAAATTTAGTTTTTTTTTAAGTCAAGTAGAACAAATAAAACGATTATCAGCTTATGACAAAACTTTGAATCGGGTAATTAGGAATTTAAGATGGTATAAAGAATTTTTACTAAGCTATTTTAAGTGCCTGTTTAATTAAGAATTAATCAAATTAAAATTAATGACACTTTAAGAAAGGAATTTATATTTAGTACGGCACGCCGCGGCGTGTAACCCTATCGGGATTTGTTAAAATCCTTATTGTTTGTAATATACATAAATTGTTTATTTAAGCTGAAATATTGGGTAGCTTATTATTTGACTTGTGGACACATAATGAAAAATATTACATAAAATTTTTCAAATTAAATTCGAGTAAACGTTTCATATTTTTGACAAACCTAAATATGTCACAATCGAATATTTTAATTTGTTATACATCCAAATTACGAGTTTCATTATTATTACGAATATTAAAAAAAAGAAGAGGCATTATGTTTTCTAATTAAGTGTTACGTTTTTGTAAACATTTTTATATATTTTTATTATGCGATCATTGATAAATGTACTCGTCTGTAAAGATTTGTTAAAATATTATTTTATGTGTTTACCATTTCTTCCCCCTTCATCCTCAAAAAATAGTTCCTTATACTTGTATACAATTGTGTACTAAGAAAGGCAAGGTGTAAAAATAACATTTCCCTTTACCCTTTTGAGCTAGTGGTGTTTCACTATTTCTTGGGTTCGCGTGCTTACCCAAGTCTGTTAATTTATAGCAATTCTAAGTTTGTTTCTGCAGGCGAAACGGCTATTTTTTCGTTGTTGTAACGGTATAACGACCTTAAATATGTAAATCAGCATGCATGTACGAAAATTTAACATTAGAGACCACCGAACAAATTAAAAATTAAAAACACCCGTCGTTCTTTTTAAATGTCTTCAGGACACGATTACTCTCGATTATTACTCGAGTTTCGCCGGCTCGACCGATATATTTTACTAACACAGTTTTACATTTTATTTGACCGTTATTCTTTGGGAGGGAGAAAAAATTCGCCTTTTTATATTTAATGATTTCAAGTCTGTGTTTTTTTCAAGGGGTTGACCAGGGAGGGGATATTAACCCCTAAGGAATATGTATTTATTGTGTATTATCCACTCCCCAAATGTATTAATTTATTAATTATTAACTCTTATGTCATACTACGTACCTCCCCTCTGGATAGAAGGTCTGAAATAAATACTGTTTCAAGTACTACTCACCCGGATTGATGACATCGCACGGGAGTACGACGGTGTCGTTCGTGACAACTCTGAATCTTTTTCCTTGGGAACCAAATGTTGGCAATGGATCGGTTTCCGGATTTTGCGTGGGTCTCTTAGGTGAAGCGAACCCTGTAATCAAATAAACCATAATATTAGTACATTTATACGAATTTTACAACGTATGAGATTATTGTATAATTAATCACTTAAGGTCGGTAGTCCCCTATTGACCTTAAGTAAATGGTTGTCGTGGTCTGACTTTCTCGCGGTCGAGGTTGACTATCAGAATTCCCAATTCTTGTAAACAATTTTGGGGCTACAATAGACGAATATTAATCGATGAAGTATATGCTCAGAATACTTATTTCTTGATCGATTTAAATGTGTCTTGATTGTTTAAAGTACAAAAGGAAATATAATTGTTTAATTTTTATTAACACTCGATTGACACGAAACGCATATTAGATACATATATAATATACAAAACTATAAAAGTATAATTGGTTCTAATATAAGCATTATCATTTGTTTTCAAACCCGACTGTAGAGTTTGAAATACACCACAATTATTTGATATTCCATAACTTTATAACTGACTTAAAATGTTCACAATGAAATCCTTTTGGTCACATATTCGTTTAACTCGTCAAAGGATTATGTTGTATTTATAATTTAAATTTAAATGCTTTTATAAGCTTTTTTGAAAATTTGTTCAGAGTTGACTCGTAATTTAGAATTTATAAAGAAATTCGAAAAATGACCTTATTTAAATATTCATTCACGTTCAATTTTCGATGTATGAGATAAAAATGTATAAGAATCTTTTTTGAGCTTTCTTATAACCGTAAATATATTAAAATACATAAAAAACACTTAATTGTAAAATCAATATCTTATTCTTATTGCAGTAAAGCTAAATTCCCAAAAATCTATATCATGTTGTATTTTTCTTTTTGAGACTATGATATTTGTTACATTTGGCAAAATAATATGATTCTGAAATCTTATTGAACTTTTCGTCGAATTATTATGTAAAGTACTATTTTTAGCTATCAAAAGTGATATAAAATTTTGCGGGTAAGCGCTGAAAATTGAAATAAAAAAAAAACAGTATCTTACTTTAGATAGTACAAGATAATATCAGTTCATATTATGAACTGATTTGTCATTGATATGTATCCTTTTTGTAGTATGTAACAAAAACACAATTTGTTTAAGGCGTTTTATTACATTAAAATTAATATCACTAGTGTAATAAATGCAATATTCGGATGTATATTAAAATCATTAAACATTTTATTGAATTACAATATTTGCGTTCAACTGCTGCACACGTAGAGTATTTTGAATCAGTATAATATTATTTGATTAGTTATTACCGATTATCAATATCTATTCACTCGTAAAGCGGGCTATGTTCTAAATATAATATGCACTGTTCTTTCTGAACGCTGAAAAATAAATATCGTTTTTCAACAACACTCCCCTCATACGCATTATCGCCTAAGTAAATATTTGAACACACCAAGCCTGCGTGTATTGAAATTCCAAGTATATTTTGCCTGTCATTCTTGTCAAATAAACATATTGTGGTATTGCGCAGCCAGTGGTAGTATGTTGGAGTTTAACAATGTAATAACCATCGAAATCGGCATGAGGAGAGGCATGTCTACCGGGGGAAAAATCCCATTTACTTGGGATCTCAATATTGTACGTCTGCGCGAAACAATGAGAATAATATACAACCAAATCGAACTACAATACGGAATAACATGTGAATACTCAGATGCAGAGTGTTCAATAAACGATAATGTGAAGGCATTGATGAATTTTCGCGATTATAATAATACATTTTAACCGGAGAAATCCGAAACAGTGCACCTGCAGTGGAAATCGGAAAACCAGAGGGGTACCAATTTAGGCGAAAAAAACGTTCAGAAAATTAAAAATGTGTTACGAAAACCGTGAATAAGTCATTTGACATCGGAAACGCCTTGGACTGGACGGTGCAGATAATAATGTGTTCCCTCCGTAAACAGTAGCTATAATAGTATACGCTCGCTCGCGTATGTGTGTGTGTGTGTGTGTGCATTTACATGAGTGTAGGTTTATAAATAAAACAGTTTATATCTCTCGTGATCGTATATATGCTTCTTGCGCGCGTGAGCGTATTGGGGTATTCTTCGGTTAACGAAAATCGACAACGCGGACACGGAGCGCAAACGCTTTTATTTATCAGAAAATTGAATCCCTCCTCTCTTGCACCACGATAACGATCGCAGGCATCGCCGTGATATATATGCACTCTACTCGTTCGTGTCTCCGCGATAACAACAAAAACCACAATACCAATAATTATAATCATAATTCCAATTTAATATTAATGTTAATAATATCCTCGCAGGGGCGGAACTAGGGGGTGGAAGACGAGTATTCATCGCCGGGCGTGATATTTTATAGGGTGTGATTTATGGAGATTATTAACAACTAATTTGATTTGATGTTTATAAGTTTGTTAACCTAATAAGTATAATAATTATTAGAAAAAAATTCTCGAGAAGAGTATTCCACTGTCGGTCTACGATAGGGCGTGAGTTTAACATTTTCCCCGGGCGTAAAAATTCCTGGTTCCACCTCTGCGTCCACGGTCCGTGGCATCGGTTTCGCGTGCGTTCACGTGTGCACCGGTGCGACGTCTTGCCAAAGTACTTATAGTACTGTTACGTGTACAATAACGATGTTACGTGCGTATACAAATATGTGTTCGCGCAGCGTTTGCTTTTCCGCGGCAGTTATGTACACAGACCGGAAATTCACGATTCTGATAGCAAGAAGTGTGTATGTGTACATGGCGCGCGGTACATCTCTACGGATTGTTTGCGCTACCGCCGCTGCCGACGACGGTAAAATGAAGTGTCGTGGTTTTTAGGTAAAATGTTTACCGTTCACAAAGACCGTAAACACCTTGGGTATTTATAATAGACGTTGAAACAATGTTGTGCAAATAATACCGTTGCGCGGAATGCAAAAATAATGGACGGTCGGCGAGAAGCATGGTGGTATGAGTGTACATAAATACAATTTGTGCACGGTGACGTATTGTAAATTTCATGAAAAGCTATCCGTTTTATGAAACGAAGTAAACATTTTTTTTTTTATTTACATTTCGTGAAGTATGAAAAAAAGTTGTATTTATCTGATAACTTTTCGTGAAATTAACATCGTTTCACTTGGTGTGATTTGCTTTCGTCAACTGGACAGCCACATGATGAAAATAAAATTTAATCAAGGTACACAAATTGTCAATTATACTTTGTTTAAAAGTCGTTTCCAAATAGTTTTCCAAATATTGGGGGTGCTGAAATTACGTAGCTCACACTAACTCACACACAAACTCCCCAAGTACCATATCTCAATTTAATCACTATATGTACCATAACAACATACATACCTACACTAATATTTTAATTTATAAATATTAACAAGCCTAACCTGTATTATTTTATTTAGGTCACACAGTTCCAAAAAAATACACAAATGAAAAAAAAATATTATGCAATATATAACATATAATATTCACACTAGTATTATCTTGCGATGACTAGTGGAATATTTTTCAAGTATATCTGACGATGTAATTAACTAATAATCATAAAAGCATCGAATAAAAATAACTACATATAATAAGGAAAACACTATTTTTATATGATTTTTCAATCATTCATTTTTTAACTGGGGAGTGCTAAATTAGAGCCTAGGGATGCTGTGGCACCCCCAAGCACCCCCCTAGTTGCGCCTATGGACATATATATAATATTTATTGTTTGATCTATCATTATGTTGTGCGCGATCTTCACAAATCGACTTTTACAACTATCGTTACTTAGTACACTTATTGCGTACGCTCAACGACAGGGTAGATGGGATACACATGATGGCTATATACGAGCATGTGCTCAGTGCAATATAAAGGGGATTCTACTTAATATCGGGTTATAGCTATAGGAAAGTACGGAAAATAATGTTCTGTACTATTACTATTTTCATAGGGAAGGTTCCGAGAAACGTCAATTTCATTTGACTTTATAACTTAAATAACTAATCAAGAGAACTTTATCCCCTTCGTTGTTCATGAGTTGTGATCACGTCGCGTGGAAAATGATACGTCTTCATCTGTTAATAATGTATATGAATATAATATTAAGACGTAATCATCTACAGTGCACAAGTGCTATAATTAATCGTCCAGCGGGGTGTAGACGCTAAAGGCGTAGTAACGTGGTTAAAAGGCGGAAAATGAGAAAAATAATAATTATCTTATACAATAATAATAATAATAAATAAAACGGCCGATTACCTAGCCGTTATTGCTGATATACGCGGTGTTGCGAAAATTTCGCAAAAAGAATATGAATAAATTTCAGGCGACCCGTCCCGCGTTACGCGGTGCGGGCGCGCGCCGCTCGTCGGACCGCGAGTATACCACCAAATACCGCGCCCTGTCTGCCCACCCGTCGTCGCTCAAACCCATCCGCCGCTCACAGGTGCGCAGTACTTCCGCGGTGTCGAAAAGTTTCCGGTGAATAATTTCCTCCCGACAAAGAAGCTCCGGCGAACGAGACCTTCGCCCCGTTGATCGGTAGTTTTAAAAAGTTTCTCGGTCGGAAATTCGTTAAAAGCGTATTTACACGCGCTAGCGGCGGCGGAATAAGTTACCACGCGAACTATGATTGAACGTCTTACGCGGTTTTCTAATTAAACCGTTGCACACCTGACGAGCGGGCACGCGGCTGACCCGTTCGAGTCGGCCCACACATTGCGGCCGTCCCTGCCGCGTTCAAAAGGCGACCGACACGTGTTTAATTTATCCCGCGTGCAGCCGGTACCGCCCGAAACAAGAAAGACGAGCCGTTAGGAAATCGATGGCGTCGACCACGGGCTTTGTGACGGACAGCGAAACAGTACGTTACGCGCACGGTGTATGTACGGTGTTCCTCCTACGGGCATATCGAATTCCCGGGCACGCTTATACTTTTGAGATTTTGAAAATCGCTCGGACGTGGTGTCGTAACAAAAGTAACAAACGTTTTTTTTTTTTTTTTTTTGACAACCGGAGAGGATTAGTATTG